AAGATATCCCCAGCATAGAAATACACACCATCCTTCACTTCCTAAATGCATGTGTCAGGGGCAACTTAGTGTCAACACTAAAACAACTGAAGTTGGTATTTTCTCTTCTAAATTGTTTCTTTCTACCTAGTTTCCTTTTTTTCTACCAAGATATCACCGCCTTCTGGTTGGGCAGGACCACAACTTGAGAAACTTCTGTGCTTTGCTTCTCCATTTCTTGTGCCCATCCATAAGGAGTCAATGATCTAATGATTCTATCACTTGTCAATTGCCAACTGCTTCTGCTTCTCCATTCCCATAACCATTCCACAGTGTTCAGCTCTCCACCAATATCCATTGGCCTATCTTAGACTCCTAATATTCTCCATCATTCACGGTACCTCTGCTTTGTTATCCAGTTTATAAACACACACACGCACACACAAACCACACACACACACAACTACACACCACACACACAAACCACACACACATAACCCCACACACACATACACACACACACACACACACACACACACACACATGCGCGCACGGCGATGGCTCTGTGAATGCTATGAGAACTTAGTAACTTACTCTTTTTTCCTGCGACCATGAAAAAAACTGGCCCATTCAAAGCATGTCTTTTTGCTTCCAACCCAAAAAATAGAGGGAATGCCAACAATGAGAGCCATTAGATACTTCATCAGAAAGAGGATCAGGTCGGGACGGCTCATCTGAGTAACCTGCAGGGACAGCGATGGCTCTGTGAATGCTATGAGAACTTAGTAACTTACTCTTTTTTCCTGCGACCATGAAAAAAACTGGCCCATTCAAAGCATGTCTTTTTGCTTCCAACCCAAAAAATAGAGGGAATGCCAACAATGAGAGCCATTAGATACTTCATCAGAAAGAGGATCAGGTCGGGACGGCTCATCTGAGTAACCTGCAGGGACAGAAAGAAATCATCTTAAACATGTACGAGGAACTTTTATTAAAGGCAATTATAAAAACTATAAACGAAACAGGCACCAGTAAAATAATGCTACAAATTTAATAATTTTCATTTACAAAGTTCTATAAATAATTTTCTTGCTTTGTGGAAAAAAATCAGTCCTGAAAATCTGACAATTGTCTTTTTATTTATCTTTATTTTAAATTTTTATGTAGTAAAGTTTTGCCTGCATGCATGTAAGTGTGCTATGTGCATGCAAGGCCTGTGGAGACCAGAAGAGGGTGTAGGCTCTCCCCTGGGAACTGGAGTTTTAGATGGCTGTTGGTCACCAGGTGGTGCTGGCAACCAAACTCTGGTCCTGGGCAAGAGCAGCCAGTGCTCTAACCGCTAAGCCATCTCTCAAGCCCCAATAATCTTACACGCTGGTTATTAAGCCCTACATTTTTATTATTGTCTGGCATTAGATATTTACTGAAGAAAAAGTTTGCCGACTCAGAAAATTAGCCTTAAATAGAGATGGAGGTTCAAATAATATCTTTTTGGCCAACTTCACAATTAAAAAAGTATTCATTCTTTTTCTCTATTTCATTAATTCTGGTAGCCTTTTAAAGATTTATTTACTTTTACTGTATGTGTATAAATGTCTGACCTGCAAGTATGTAAGTGCACCGCAAGTGTGCATGGTGCCTGTGGAAGCCAGAAAGCCTTGGATCCCCTGGGACTGGAGTTACGGACAGTTGTTAGCTGCCATGTGGGTGCTGGGAATCGAACACGGGTCTTCTGCAAGAGCAGCCAGTGCTCTTAACCACTGACCTATCATTCCAATTCCAAGTTTTCTCTTTTTTAAGTGCACTGTCTAGTTTCCTATTGGATTTTTTAATTGTTCCTTTTTCTTGGTTAAGTTTAATTACTGTGGGTAGAGGAATGGTGTATGATTTTAGTTTTACCTTAAATTAAATTTGGGGCATCTTTTGTGTGTGATTTAAGTCAGTTTTCATAAGTGTCCTTTGTATACTCCAAAGTAAGACATATACTCTATTGCTGGGTAAAAAAAATCCAAAATTTGAGTTGTGCTCTTTATATCTTTTATATTCATAACAATTTTCTGTCTACCTGTCAGTTTTAGCAGATATACTAAAAATCCCTCATAGGATCATGAACTTGCCAATTCTGATCCTGTCAATTTTCACTATGAATTCTGCTGGATGCAAGCTGGAGAATGCTGTAGCCATTAATTTTACTTTGCTAATGCTCTTCACTTTACCTTCTATCTAACTTTAACAGGCTGTACCTGCTATTTTCTTGTCTATACCAACATGTTTTCCAAGGATTTCCAGCCTCTCTTTACAGGTCTATTTCTTTCAAGTCCATGTATTTGTGGCAGCTATGCCTTTTAAAGCACCACTAAATGTAAATTCCATGAAGACAGAGGTTCCCTTGCCCTCCAGGGCCCTTAAAAAGGGTCTGATACATGGCAGATAGTCAATACACGTATATTTAAAATATGTACTTATGCTTGGTTTTATTACAAATAAATTAGTTAAAGTTATTATCACCCATACTCTTCACAAGACAGTGCTCCCATCTGAAGTTACCTATCTTCCTTATGTTTCCAGGTATTCAGCGTAACTTTTACAAAATTATTATTTTCATTATTATCACTAACTTTGTCCAAAACTACACTGACTCTTGCCTTTGGGTTCCCTTTCTTTCCGGCTAAATGGATACCCTTCAGATGCCTTTTCAGATAGGATGTGCCAGACATAAATTACTTTTAAGCCTTTGTCTGAAAATACCTCCTGCCCCCACCAACCCCTTACCCTTGAATGGTGGTGAAGTCAAGTTGGCATCTCTTAGCATGTTAAAGCCCACTGTCCTGGAGGTCCTGCTGCTGCTGCTACTGCTGGGAAGCCTGACTTACTGTCTCTGGTACGGCTGTATCTTTTAAACTTACACTGAATACTGCTTATGGTAGTTGACTTTGTTAGTGTTCTGACTGTACTTTTAATCAAGTTTTCATTCTAGAAAGTTCTCAGAAATTGTCTCTGGTTATTGCTTCTTAGTCATTCTTACAGCCTCCCCTTTTGGAACTCCCATGCAATGTGTACTGAAATTCCTCCATCTCTTTCTTTTTTTTTTTTTGGTCTTTTTGAGACAGGGTCTCCCTGTAGCCCCAGCTGTCCTAGAACTCACTATGTAGACCAGGCTGGCCTTGTACTCACAGAGATCCGCCTGCCTCTGCCTCCCAAGTGCTGGGGACTACAGGTGTGTGTGCCAGCACACCCAGCTCTTCCATCTATTTCTTAATGTCTAACTATATAATAACATGAATTTGAATATTTTTTATCTCTATATTCTCTATTCTAGGTAAACTTTTCAGAACATTTCCTACTTGGATAATTTCCTCTTCAACCATGCATAGTTTAAAGTTTGTTCTATTTGTTAATTCAGTTTCTGTATTTCAGCATTTCACTTCTATGATGCTTAATCAGTTCTTATATTCAACTCTATCTTGATTTTATTTAGACTATCATTTCTTTAATATACTTTTTTTGAGACAGTCCCACTGTAGCCCTGGCTGGCCTTGAACTCAAGAGATCTGCCTGTCTGCCTCTCCAGTACTGAGATTAAAGGTGTGTGCCACCACGTTCAGCCCAAGACTATCATTTCTTTAAAAATGGTTTTTTATCTATCTTTCAGAGAATCTTAAAATGCTTACTTTTAAATAACTAATTAAACCTGCTAAATTCAGCCCATTAACATTTATTTCATCCAGGAATGACTCCACCTTTGACTGTTCATTTTGTTGGATGTTTTTGAGGATGAGCTCTTGTCCCATCTCTCCCCACCATCCTTGCCTGGGTTTTACACCATAATATTTCAGTGCTCATCTCCTAAGATAAGGACAGCTGCCTACCTAACCACAGTAAAATCCTTATGCCTTAGGAAATGAACATTCTTTAATATCACCGAATGCACAGCCAACATTTAAATTTCTGCACTTGTCTCAAGAATGCCTCTTGTCCCTACTTTTCAATTTTCCTTCCTTCCTTTCTTCCAACTTTGAGATAAGTAGTTTGGAATTTTACGTGGCAAACCTGGAATAAGACCTTTCTGTGTGAGTACCTCAGGGTCATGCAGAATTACTTTTGCTGCATGTAGTTTACTAATCAAAAGCATGTCAGGAACTATCTAATTCAAAGAAAAGGCCCCAGTTTTACTTTTTCAAAAGATCATGCTGGCTACCAGACTGAAACACACCGTGAAAGAACAGGAGTGCAGGAAGGCGATCAGAAAGAAGGCCACTGTGCAAACAGCAAAAAGCTTGTCAGGGAAGAGGTGAAGGGAGTCCAAAGCCGAAAGCCGATGGGTGGAACACAAGGTACAGAGAAGAAAGGCTCCAAGATGGCTCCAAATTAAGAGTGTGAGCACCTGGGGTATTCGAGGGCCAGTCACTGAACAGAAAACTGGGGTGACATGCAGGAAGCAGGTTTTAGGAGAACAATTAAGCTTGGAAAATGTCATGCAATAGAATATTCTGGAGCTCGGAACTATACTGCCTAACAGATGGGGGTGAGTAAGACTGTACAGAAAGCGGAGGGAAAGGAGCTGAGCAAGAAATCCTGTTTTCCAATTTCTTTTCTTTAGTGGTTTAAAGGACACAGTACAGTCTTTATCAATTAACATTGCTCACATAACAGAAACCCTTGAATTAAAGGGAAGGCACGCTAAAAACAAAATCAGTAACACCCAAAGCAACCACTAAGGCCTTCAATTACACAGGAAATTGGAAGGAAAACAGGGACAGGACACCGAGCATTTTGTACTGTAAGATTCTGTTTAAATCCCAAATTGCAGGGAAGACAAGCCAGCGCCTGTGGACGCCAGGGTACAGAGGGAGAGCAGCTCAGGAAGCCGGCTGTGAGCGCCTTCGGCAGTGCTAGAGCCACAGGTCCAGACCAGGGGTGGGCACTTCCCTTATGGGAACGAAGAAAAAGAGCTCCGTGTTAGCTGGCGATGGACCACACCAAGGACACAAAAACACTGAGGCAGGTAAGATATAAAACAGGATAACACTAGATAGAAGGGTGGCACCCACCAAAGAACTGTATTTAAATAAAGGAAAGAAATATAATGTTCAGGTATTATTGTTCTGATATTATGAAATATAACCTGTTTTAGTTTCATTTTCTTTGCTGTGATAAAACACCTGACCGCCCCCCCCCCCAAAAAAAAACAACTTTGAGAGAAAGGGTTATTTTAGCTCATGAGTCCAGTTCCAGTCCATCACTGCCCAGTCACCACTACAGGAGCCTGAAACAGCTGGTCACATCACAGCCGCAGTCAAGAGCAGAGAAAATGCCTTCATGGATGCATGCTCACCAACGCATGCATGGATCCGTGCTGACCGCTGAGCTGACTTTCTCTGCTCTTACATAGTCCAGGACCCAAATCCAGGGAATGGTGCTGCCCATAGTGGGCTGGGTCTCAGAAGTCACATCAATTCATGTGATGAAGACAATCCCACCCAGACAGGCCCACAGGCAGACCAGATCTAGACAAATCCTCAAGGAGACTCCTCCCAGGTGATTCTAGATGGTGTCAAGCTGAGAAGCAAAACTATCTGGCACAGAACCTAACACCTCAAAGAACTCATTGGAGAAGATCCCTTGGCCTGTCATACAGGAAATGAAAGAGAATCAAAGGTAGAGAAGAGACACCCACTGTCCTTTTTTTAAGTTTATTTTTTAATTTATTATTATTTTATGTGTATGTGTGTATTGCCTGTATGTATGTAAGTGCACCGGTGTTGTGCAATGCCCACACAGGACAGAAGAGGCCTTCAGATCCCCTGGAACTGGAGTTACAGACAGTTGTTAGCTGCCATGTGGGTGCTGGGATTCGAACCCAGGTCCTCTGCAAGACCAGTCAGTGTTCTTAAGTGCTGAGCCAACTCTCCAGCCCCCACTATCTTTTTTCTACCATAGCCT